CGATAAATTAGCGGTTGTGCTAATCATTTTTAATTATTTTAAAGATTATGATTTTTAAAATATTTCACTATTTTTGTGGGTTTAAAAAAGTAAATATCTTTATTATATTATTTAGGTTTGCAAAGCAATGGCGGCTAAAGTAAAGCAGATGATTTTCAATGGAATGAAATGTGATTTCAATTATAAGTCGATTAGTGATGAAGTGATAGAAGAGTACAGAAATGCAAACAATGAAAATCACGTTATGTTTCGCATATTGGATAAAATGCTGTCAGATGTCAGCGATAATAACAATAACAACCAAATAATTACTAACAATAAGGATATGAAAAAACTTTTGAATGATATAGTCGTGAATCCGGACTACAATTTGAGTCGCGATTTAATAAACCAAATCTCAAGTAATGAGCGAATGATTAGATCTCTTGTGCACATCGTTTGCGAGAATCTCGATCTTAACAACGAGTTTATTATTACCGAAATTAATTTGAGCAAGGACCTACTCACTACATCCGTGGGTAATTATATTAGACGATTCCAGATGAAACCAGTTTACTTTTTAAACCACTTAATAATCAAATCCAAAGAGAGTATCCCTGATGAATTTAAACGTGATGCCAGGGAATGGGATGTAAATGAGCGTGTCCAAATATCACCATCAAGTTTGGTGATAGTGAGAGACACACCGGACTTATGGCGAATAGATTTGCAGACATTTATACAAGACTTGTATGACTCGATCCAATCAAACGGATTCCTATTAACGGTATTCCGCTATAAGTTTACGGAACCGGAACTCGCGTTGAACTCATTGAACGGAAAGGCTATTCTGAATGACAATGATTTACGCAATCGTATAGAAAATTATACGAACATTGCGTCGGAAACAGGTTTCCGCGTAATCAGCAAAAAGAGGGATACCATCGGAAACATTGCAATACTTTTCAGAAATGTTTCTCAAAAACCTATTCCTAATAATAATAATGTAATTAATATTAGCGGTGATTATCAGCAATGGTTTGGAGTATTGCAGGAAAAGCTGATTGCCGTTAAGGAAGCGGATAATAAGACGGATAACGTATGGCTCGTAGCCAACGACTCGTCCATTAATGGCATAATAGGTTTCATGAATTGCTTGCGATTAGAACCGGGAGGAGAGAACTGGAGATATATTTTTAATTACGACAGCACTGGTAGTCCAATGGATATAGACTTCAATGTCAGCCCTTATAGCGATATATTGGCCAACGATTTGGTGGCGAATATCGTGAAAGAGGGAAAAGTGGGAACTTATCGACACTTAAGACTTCCCACGGATTACGACAAACGCCTCGCAAATGACTATCACTTGAACGTGAAGCAAACGAATGGTGAGGAAAGCCTTCAATGGTATGGCCCACAAAACACACCAAAAAATAATAAAGCACCTAATTTAAATAATAATCAATTAGAAAATAAAACTCTAATTGAAATCTATTATTCTGGAATTGAATACCGAGATGTTTCACTAGCATTAGGTATAAATCACAGGTTTTTTTTAAATATTTCTAATTTCAATTGTTAATAATGTATTAATTTTATATTAATTATCAGGTAAAATTGAAAATGGTTTTCATGAGTCTCCTGAATATGGTTATCTCGGCCACGAATATGTTGGCCGTAATCGGGAAACAGGCGAACGAGTTATGGGAGTCGACAAAGGACCTTGCATATCTACATCACTAAATGCCAACACTCATAGTATGACTACAGTTCCCGATCACTGGTCAATGGCTGAGGCGGTGACTATACTCAGCACTTATAGCACACTGTATTACGCGCTCATCAAAAGGGCTAATTTGAAACGAGGTATTTTATATGCACTTTATAATCATGTTTTTATTTAATAATCTTGGTGGCAATTTTTCATAGGAGAGAGTATATTGATTCACTCGGCGGCTGGAGGTGTGGGACAGTCGGCTATAAACATGTGTCTCAACTACGGGTGCGATATCTATGTGACGGTTGGGACGGAAGAGAAAAAGCAATTCCTTGTGAAGGAGTATAACATTCCTGTGAACCGGATATTCAACTCAAGAGATATTCTCTTCAAGAATCAAATAATGGATGCGACGAATGGAAAGGGAGTCGATATTGTCATTAACTCCCTGTCCGGTGAAAAATTGGACGCTAGCTATGAATGTGTGGCAAATAGTGGCCGATTCGTAGAGATAGGCAAATATGATATGTTTCAGAACCGGAAGGTCGGTATGTTTGACTTCCTGAGGGACATACAGTTTATTGGTGTGGCGTTTGACTCGGCGTTTATGAAAGACCCGGAACTTCTCAACGAGTTTTACGATTGGATGCATAAGAACTGTACGAATGGTTGCGTAAAACCAATCAATTATACGGTATTTAATGCCTCGGAGGCCGAGAAGGCGTTCCGATTCATGACAACCGGATCGGGAAAGTAGTCATCAAAATGAGAGACGAAGAGATGGATAGACAGCCACTGAAAGCCATTAAACCGGCCGTCGATATGATGGTTACGGTTAAGACGTATTTCCATCCAAACAAAGTCTATATAATCGCCGGTGGTTTGGGTGGGTTTGGTATGGAACTGGTGCCCTGGATGTTATATTACGGTGCAAGGAAGTTTGTGGTCACGTCCAGGTCAGGGGTTAAAACAGGTTACCAACGATGGGTATATAACAGGAGTCAATCATTTTACGAAGATTTCAAGTATTTTAAGTGCGATTATGTCGTGTCGACCGCCGATTGTCTCACTATTGAAGGCACACAACAACTCTTAAAAGAGACCCAAAAGTTGGGACCCATTGGAGGGGTATTTCATTTGGCGCTTGAATTGAATGACTGTTTGATAGAGAAGTTAACGTTTGATAAGTTTTGTTTGTCTATTGATACAAAACATAAGATTTTCGCGAATTTGGATCAATTGACCCGAAAATTGGACTATAATTTGGATTATTTTGTCATATTTTCATCCATGGCTTGTGGAAAGGGAAATGCCGGTCAGTCTAACTACTCGTTTGGTAACTCTATGTGTGAACGCATTTGCGAAGTGAGGCGTAGGGATGGTCTGCATGGACTGGCCGTACAGTACGGACCCATCGGTGATGTGGGAGTGTTTGAAGGGTCCGATCAGTTGATAACTTTATCATCACTCAGAAAACAACGGATCAACTCTTGTTGCGATGTTTTGGACAAATTGTTGGCAATTAATACACCGATTGTTACCTCATTTGTAAGTCCCTCTCTTATCTCTCTCACTCTCACTCACTCACTCACACAAACACTCACCCACTATTTACAATCAGTTCAATAATAAAGATTATAATAAAATATTAACCAGCTTACATATTTGAAAATAGTAGTCATTTAAATTGTCTATATCGTAGATCAAAGCCGATAAAATACAGAAAGGTGCAGGGACCAAACAGCGTATGATAGCTGAACTATGGCGAGCACTGGGCATCGACCCAAACACCACACCCAACCATATAACCCTGGGTGAGATCGGCATGGAGTCCATGTTTGCCGTGGAGTTACAACAGGAGTTGGAAAGGGAGTGGAATATGAAAATCTCCCTGAACCAGGTCAAAAGTATAACCATCGGCATGCTCAAGGACTACGAATCTGGTAACGTTAGTAACGTCAAAAAACATATTGATCACTTAAAACGATCCCGGGCTAATTTGTTGAAACAAAAATTTATCATACCTTCCGACCCGTACGTACGTCTAAATGGGGTTACGAAGGGAAAGCCTGTTTACTTTATGCCGACCGTATTGCTAAACTTTTCCATGTTCGAGGAGCTTGCTCAAAAACTTAATCGCCCCGCTATTGGCCTTAACTGGACACACGAAGTCAGCAAACTGACCACGCTAAAACAAATACTAAAGTTTTACCAACAACTATTAAACGTCCTAGAGCCTAATGGCCAGTTCGATGTGGTCGGGTATTTCGACGGGGCTATCGTATGCTCGACACTCTTACTAAAGGAAATGGCAGATAAGGCGGTAATTGTGGACCTAATTAGGGATCACCGGTTTTGCGACGAAAAACTCACGGATGACTTCCTATTGGAGTTTCTATTGACTGTCATGTCCACTGAGATACCCGAGTCGTTTAAAGACAAAATTGTCCGCGAGATTAAAAAGGAGCAGGATATTAAGGTTAAGGTCAGGCTGATTGTTAACGAGATCGTAGACTTTGCCGGCAAAGGACTGGTAGCCCCGGACATGGAGGAGATCTTACACGTAATGATAGCCCGGATTCGTATGCTATCGGAGTATAGACTCAATAAACGCAAGAAGTATTCAAATCGACTGAAACTCACAATCGGGAAAAAGTGGGCCAAAAAGTCCGGAAAATTGATCATGATCAAACCATTTAAGTGGGATACCGTTGACAATGTGGCTGAGTTTATGGAAAAATCCAGGGATGTGTATTTGTTACCTGAACAAAATGTAACGTCATGTTTTTTGTTAATTGAACTTTTGTCTATAATGTTATATTTTTTTGAGCAGGATGATAGCAAGAATATCTCTATGGAAATGGTGGATACTTCAATTGATCCAGATGAGGAAGTTAGTGAGATTATGGATAAAATATTTGCGGCACTTAAATAAGTTTTAATAATTTTTAAAATTATATTTTTACATGTTTATAAAACCTAAAATATTACTTATGATAAAATATTAATTATACCTTTATAATTTTATTATTTTAAATTCTGTAGCTACTAGTATAAATAAGTACTTTTTTGCATAATTAATACTTTATTTTTCTAATTTAATATTAAAATCCTTATAACATTTTTAATTTTGTGAATCGAAAAAATAAATTTTTAACTAATATTATTATAAAATAAAATAAATTTTTATCAAAAAATGAACTATTTTAATAAATTAAACAACATCTATATTAAGTAAATAATAAATAAAATACGCAAAGAGATGATTATCCCAAAATTACTTTATAATATACATTAATTAAATATTATTTTTTAAATATGTAGAGTTTTACAAATTAAATTTTAGAGAGAGAGAGAGAGAGAGAGAGAGAGAGAGGTTGGCAGTACTACTATAATGTCGATTATATCAACTACTCGGGTAAATATGTCAAAATTAAATATAAGATAGCACAATTAACATCATTTAACCGATTAGCATAATTTTCAGTTTTAATAAAATAAACATTAAAATTTTTTATTTTGAGGTTATTTTATACAAAATATTATTTATTAAAACATACAGTATACTGAAACTTCTATGTACTGTAGGCAATATTTGAATAACATTTGAATGGTTAATCCGATTTTTAATCCGTTTTCACTAAATTGTAGCTGGATAATCACGTAATTTAATGGTATAGTATTTGCCATATAAATTCATCAGGATAAATTAGTAATTTAATTTCAAAGTTTTGCCAACATTTCTCATTGAAATTACATGGGGANTATTTGCCATATAAATTCATCAGGATAAATTAGTAATTTAATTTCAAAGTTTTGCCAACATTTCTCATTGAAATTACATGGGGATTTTACTTCATTTTTCATAATTTACTCTAAACTCGCTAAATTTTAATATACCTGTATCTTGGTAATTTTTATTGTGATTTTTGAAATTCCAACATCATTCTGTTTGACAATAAAATGCACTTTGTATCATGTTATAAATTTTAAAAATCTACCAAATATGTGTTTCTAACAATTGAACACTAAGACTTAGATCAAATTTGAATACCTCATTGGAAAGAACACAAAAAAATAGTC